ACGTACTGCCAGCCAGGCCCTGGTCATCATGGCTCTGAAGGGGTGTCCTGACCACTGCTCTCATTCTCCCTGTTCTCTTGCTTCCCCCAAATTAGGGAGGAGAGGGGGTGCATGGTGGCTTTGACCCACAGGACCCATCTCAGCGACTGCAGACACTGGGCTCTTCCAACCCAAGACCTGCTCCAGGGGTAGGGACGGTCTCCCTCCTTTGGGTGGGGTCGTGCTCCGATTCACTCTTAGTGACATCAGGACAGCAGATGTGGGACATTCAGACATGGGCTGACCAAAATGTGGTCCCTCATTCCCTACCACAGAGGTCCTGTCCCTGCTGCAGCCAGCTTCCTGCCCCAGGGACTTCCTCAGGCATCAGGAGGTAAGGCAGGGACAGAGAGCCATCCTGGTCCCCTGATAGGAGGGTTCATTCACATGGGGGACTCCCAGGTTTACCCCTGTGTAATGATAAAGAGGGAAAACGCCATCAGGGGTGTCCTGGCCTCTTGAGATCTATCCCCTCGGGCAGACACCAGGTTCTGCTCACATGCGACTTCTTTACGGAATTAGTTTGTGACTGCAGCATAACAAATCTCTGAAAATTTAGTGGCTTTCTTCTCTCACGGCTTCTGTGGGTCAGAAGTCTGGGCATGGCTTACATGGTCCTCTGCTTGGGCTCACGGGCTGCAAGCAAGTGCCATGGGGCTGAGGTCTCACCTAGAGCTCAGCTAAGGACGGATGGTTTGGACTGTGTGCAGAATCTCTGTCCTTGCTCTCTAGGACCTGTCCATGAAGCCCTTCTGAGGACCAGCTTCTATTCTGCAAGGCCAGCAGAACACCTCCGACCTCAGGGAGGATCCCAGGCCCTCTGAAAGGGCTTGTCCAGTTAGGTTAGGTCAAGGATAATCTCTCTTGTGATCCACTCAAAGTCAACCCGTTAGGGACCTCAGTTATAAAGTAACAAACCAGACAGTCCTATCCAAACACACTGATAGGATCCTAGGATTCCAAGAGATGGATTGTGCATGACGTGGACACCAGGGGGCGATCTTAGAGTTTCCCTGATTCAAAACTGAAGGATAAATTTAACTTTGATCTGTAAAAGAAACATTAATGGCCAGACAGCAAATTTCTAATTTC